GCCTCGCGGCTCTAGGGTTGGGTTTTCTTAACGGTTGACGATCATTGGAAAGTAGTCAGGGACACTGTTAAGAAGGAGATCTCTGAGAATGTTGCTGTAATGGTAATAAAATCTGAGTAGCGGTTAATATGGTCAAAGCGAGGCAGTGACTGTCTCTAAAAAGGCAGGAGTATAGCATGGAATAAAGAGGGGCTCTCCAGAAAAAAGTCAGGTCATAGTATATATGCGGCTCTCAGGAATCGATACATCAGGGTGCTAGAGGATAGGAAGTCGTTCCAGATAAAAGTCAACCTGAAGCCTGAAGTGAATTCCAAGGACCTATATCGATTCATGGCAAAGAGAAAATCTCCTAACCAGTTAGCATATGTTATGAAAGTTCCAAGTGGAGAGAAACTCTCTGAAATAGAGACTGCCAAAACGCCTAGTGCCGTCTTTGATACATAACTCAACATTCTGCCAATCAACCAAACGTACCAACTGTCTTAACAACATTACCCAGTTTAGAAGGGTTACATAGAATACAGAAAATCCCTTCTAGGGCTCTCGTAAAGCTGTCAAAGTGCCGCTCAGGAAAATCCCCAGGACGTAACAGTATTCGCCCTTCTGTGTTGAAGCCATATGCGAGCACAATTTATGGCCTACCCTGTACTCTTTTCAAAAGTCTTTAGATGCAAACAAGCCCCTACGAAAGCGGAGCTGTTATTCTCTTTCCTATCTTCGAAGGAGGAGACATGTATAAATCAAGGTCTTATCAATCCATAGCATTAACACCAGTTCTACCATAGTCGCAGGACCAATGATGCATATCCCTGCCCAACTTAGCCAACACCTAACCAACCGTCATATTTACTGGGGCTAGAGCAGGCAAGCGGGATGAAGTAGTGCATCAGAATCCGCTATAGACCTGTCCATCCTTTAAGACCTTCATGTATATGCACACCCATCCTTTATATTTCTCTCTAGAGCAAAGTCATTCCTGATGGAGTGTTTGAAAACCAATTTAAAAAACCGAATCATCATCACACAGATCATGTAGATAAATTTCTTGTAATTATAATTATACTTCAACTAAAACGTTTCAGAAAGCATCAACTCATCAAATAGGCGTAATATATTTAATATTTTGGAAGCTTCAATACATATCACAAACACTTCAAATGAACAAGTAATTCCAATGAATTTATTAATTCAATATATTTTCAGCATATGTGACCGTAACCAGAATTCATTGGTTGTCGGCAGTTCTGATGAAAACTCTCTATAAGGCATCTGCCGAAGTATTTCTTCTCAGTCTTGTTTAATAAAAGCATGACGATAGGTTGTAGTCGTTTTAAAAAATTGCAAAAATGTATGACACGAACAAAAGATGTGAAACGAATAAAACATAGGAAGTAGAGCACTTTGATGCAATATTTTAGATGGAAGGTTCAGTAGATTGGATATTTGACTAGGTAACTAAGTGTGTAAAATACTGATAACGCTCTTGCTGTAATTCAGTGACTGCCAAAAAGATATTGTAATCAATATGAAGGTCAAAATTATCGTCAGCCCGAACAGGGCAGAATTTTCTGGAAGCTTCTACAGGTGGATAAAAATGTTGCTGAATAGGTACTAACTTATCATGTTCAACTCCATGTGTGTTTCCAATGCAAGTTTTAATCTTTGTTGAACTCCAAGATCAGCTTTTCATGAACTACTCTTCTAATGAATATTGAAGTATGCGCTTCATATTGGTTTTATGTCTCCAGTAATTTGATCGAAAAGGCAGGCGACTGTCGTAGAATAAAGATACATTTGGAAACTTACGTCTTCCTACCTTTACTCACTGTTTTCCATCCTCATTTCCAGAATGTTTAATTTCTGTCGGGAAGTTACAGGTAAACCTATCTCGTTTTTATTTCGTAAGCCTTTACGCCACTCTAAATTCTTGCACTCACTTCGTTCTGAAGCTTTTCGACGGTTGATGTCAAGTCCTCTAAACATGGTAAAGCATGGCTCTAAGGTCACAAAATACAGTACATACTTAAGACTGCAATGCCATCTGCCTTCGTCAGTGACGCAGACATATCAAAGCCTTCAAGACTTGATTTGAGTAGTAATTTAAAGTCTCACAAGATGTTCCTCATTAGTGACTGTCTGTGACCAACTTGTTCCGGGATGTAGACTGAACTGATGACCTAAACGATCGTGAATTAGGTAGGATGTTATGGCTAACGACAATGGTTCACTGCTAAGTTTGTCGGATGTGTGCCTATTAATCACTGTAATTAATGTTTGAGGTTTGCCTACCTTTGTACAGTTTTCACAATGCTACTTCAGTCCGTCTAAGAGAACTTAAACTGCGGACTTTCAATGACAGATGGGGGGTATTCATCTTCAACGGAATTGTTATCAACATCGTTACTCTTAGTAAATCACGAGGATGATGAATGAATTTAGAAAAACTTTTTCCGGATGGTTTTGGCATAGGCACCGTGCTAACGGATACGAATGATGTCGATGTAGAAGTTAATTTCACGGCCTTCTGGCGTGAACGTGTAGTGCAATTTCTTGGCACCGAAATAATGCAAGGCCTAAAATAAGTAAATAAAGATTTAAAATATCTCAATAATAGCTAAATAATCTTTTACGACGTTGATGAGTGACTGTAATTCTCTAAGATTGTTTTGGTGTATAGGTATCGGCCAGTTAACACTTGCTATTTTATGTCTTCTTTGTTCTGGTTGGCAGTAACTAGTCTAGATTCCCTAGTCTAGCCATTACTAGACAAATAAGCCAACATTCTTTCCCTTATATAACTTCTTTATATCTGGCTAACAAATAAACTGTTTGTCTGAGTACTTTGTACCGAATAACGTGTCTTCTAATTTGTTTTTTGTTGTCAGTACTTAAATATGGGTGAAGTACTGATTAGTTGGGTACTGGCTCCCATTAATTTATTTAAGGCCGACCAAGTGTTAGGCAATAGTAACACCACAAAACACACCTTGCAAACCCATGGCTTCTTCAGCATCTTGCCATACATCTGATGTATTAGTTTATTTATCTGCATATCCAAGACACTATGTGTTTGAACATTGGTTAATTCCTATCCTTCCACCGCTTAAAGTGACATTTATGTCTTCCAGTGTTACTAACTTCTTAAAATATGTGTGATTCGGTTTGACAAACCAGTTAGAACTAGCTGTCAAAGTGCTTTGATTTCATCATTAAGACAACCATAAACCTATTGGACCTCCTTTGGAATCAATACCGAAAGGAACAAAGAATAAATTTGCTTATTCACTCCGTTCCCTATACCCCTGTGGCTGTACAGCTGCATCAATATACAACTGTTCACCCATGATTCATTTACTGTGTTGAGCCAATATCTGACTCCAATCTCAGTATAAAGTTATCAAAATACTGTCACCTTTTTGTCATCCCAAGTACTGCTGGCCTACCTCCGTCAAACAGTGTGAAAACAGAAAACAACTAAAGACTGGAATTTTGTACTGACAATAAGTCACCCGATTCAAAACTAGCAGGATGGAGATAGTATGTAATACGTCAGGGCGATTAAACAACTGAAAGAATTGGAAAGGAATATATTTCTTTGCTCAACCAGTTTTTTTTGAAATGTCTAAATTAAGCAAACGTCAAATTATAAGGTCAGTGTCAACGAATAAGTCAGGACATAGCTGCTAGAACGTCTCGTATATGATTGTTCAGCATTTTTTGAATTATGCTTAACACAAAATTCATTTTATTTTCACCGATACACGATGCATACTCAACACCAAAAACTGACTTCTAAATAATCTGCGTTCCTCTACATGTTTTCTCCTTTTCATTCTCCAAGTCACGAAGAATAAGCTATCTCAGTTGAGTCACTGTGAACGAATCTGCAAAGATCTAGCCGGGTTACTTTAACTATCATATTAGATTAAGAACTTTTTAATGGCCTTGCAAAAAGATGAATATAACAAATCACAGTCTGTTCGATTATTACACTACATTATCTCTGTAGTTACTTCTTTCTTAGATCTACTTTTGCCTAGTAGGAGATACAACCAACAGTTTTCTGACGGAAAAACTAGCTGTTTGTTATAGACACCAGTATGTGTACAAACAACCCGAACAGTTTGAATTTCGCCCCAAGCCAACTTGTCGGTGACATGTCACCTACGTAAACTCAACGTTCTGTAGAAAATCTAAACCTGCATCATTCAGCGTCCAACATACTGTCATTCAGATAATTCAACAAACAGGAGGACAATTTGCACATTGTATTTTGCGACGATCTTAGCAACACATGATAGAGACGTCTAGTATACGAAGAGGGATTATTTTTATTTTTACCTAAAGGTTTTTTGTTTGAGAAATAAAACGTCTGCATTTAGGTAAGCTAACTAAACAGCGAAAAAGGATCTCTGTAGCATAAGGCTGGCAAGTGGGTTTTTTTCCGTTAGTTATTTGCTACCAGTTCTAAGCATTGAACATTCAATCATCGAAAACATGCAAATTTAACACTGAAAACTCTTATTTTGTAATCATGCTGTGTAAACGTAGCACGGCTTAAACTTGCATTGTAACATTCAGTTATGTAGATACTTCTTTCAGTCACTGGGCACAGTTTTATGTAAATTCTTTATGAACTATTTACATAATGGTAGCTGAGTGAAGTGACTTTTAATGTAAAGAAAACAAAACAGAAAAGAAATATTTTGTTTAATGATAATACAAATGCAATTATTTAGATTTAATTTCTATTTACTCATTATTCATGTAGCAAATGTTATGAATCTGGGATATTTCATAAAGAAACTGGGAAGCATTGATAGGTGTCTTTACAAGTTGACTATATTTTCAACTAATTATTGTTCATTGAAACAAATCCGTTTAAATCGAATTGTATATTTAATTTAACACTATTTTTACTAAAGTATTAGCCTTCTGTTGTGATCGAATTTTCTTCCAATATCTGCAGATAGTCTTGACTTTTTGAGCATATAAGGAATTCATTGTTGACTTCTATGTCGCGATTTTCGATACGACTGATACAGATTGAAGCATTTAGGCATTTTTCGGTCATGTATCCACGGTAACAATATCAAAGCTTGAGTAAAAGAAATGCTTTGATTGAAGAAATTATTAGGCGCAAAAATCATGACAAAATATAACGTAAGTTAGGGTCAGTCGTATTTGGGTAAATGTTCACGATTACTTATTAAAAGTAATAGCTTGTTACCTGTACTTGGAAATAATTCTCAAGTCTTACGTGGAACACTTTAACTGCAACATAGTTGGATAATCAGTGTTAAAATGCTTTTACGACTACAAATTACTGTGTGCCACCGAAAATGGTTTCGCGCTTGTTGTCGCGTATTTGTAATGCATATCTGCCACGTCAAAGTGAGTGGATCAAATACGCTACGAAGTATAATGTACGGTATCTGTTACTTTATAAAGAAGCTGAAAGACAATTCAGTAAATAAAATATTATTCTTGGTAATATCATTCACCAATACTGCACAATCAATTACTGCTTCCTTTAACATAATTGGAACAAATGTTTGAGAATATGTACGATACACTAATTGTCAAAACGAAACTGTAATAATTTGGAAAATCCAAGTTTTCTTACTTCGCAATCAGCATACTGTACATAAAATCTCATGATAAAACTACATCTTCACTTCTTTCTAAAATGAACAATGATATTTCGGATTCGGTCTGAAGAATCAATAATGTCTTTTGAACAAAGATCATCTGTAAGAATTCGTAAAGGGAAACTTTTCCTAGTTTGTCAAAACGTTGTACTGACAATAAAGTGATTTTCCTAGAGAAATTAATCTGTGTCATTCAGTTGGTTGAACTGGGTTTTGCATACTAATCGAGTGAGTGGTCGAAACTGAAGGGATTTAGTAGATCAAGCTGGGTGTGTAATCAGTAGCTTAAGAACTGAACAACCTGAAGCAGTGTATTTCTTCTAGGATTCAGACTTGCCTTGATTACAAATATAAATTAACTTGAAACGGTTCCTGACCTTCATCTGAACCGTCCTACATGGCAGTCAGCTATGATATCAGTGGTGTGATATGACATCATCAAAGGGTGAAATTAAGTCAGAATTTCAGTAAGTTGAAGATGTTTATGGAAATTAGCTTCCTTTCATGCATAAAGCTGGTTGAATAGGTAAGCATTTGATTTAGATTATTTTTCATCAGTGTTTTGATAAGTTTTGCGAAGCAGTTTGCTGTCAACTGTCAGAGTAAGAAGAAAACATGATATACCTGTTCTGTCAGAACTGTTTTCAATAAGAAAAGTAAAAGATAACATCTGTCCAAGGTTTCCAGCCATAAGACGCACTATTTTAGGCATAGTTTATCCGTCGGTTTGTTTTTTATTTTGTTTTTGAGTGTGAATTGTTTTAGATCGAGGAAGTCCAAGCAGTTTACAAACCTAGTTGGGCACTGAGGTAGATCATAATTAAGATTCATTTTATTCCTCAGATATCTATTACAGATATATGATGAACTGGTGTAGTACCCAAATTTAAGGGCAAACATTTATCGACGGTAGCAAATTCAGTCTGAAATCGCTCATTACAAAAAGGCATTTTTATCATAGCCCCAGTGTGTACAGGAAGTCCTTTGAAAAATAGTTATAAATATTTATGAACTAGCAAGTAGATTAAGCTACAAGCAATCAGTAAAATATGGAAAATGATTAGTTCAATTTAGGGATTTAGAGATATTTTAAGTTGGTTTTCATCGTAGACTGACATCAGTTGGAGGAACACTGGAAACCTGGGAGCACTGAACAGCTGTTTCGTTCTAGTATGGAACACTTCGAAATTCCGCATTCACGACCTCGCCTCACCAGGAATCGAACTCGCGAACTTTAAGTTCCCTGGCCAGCACGTTTCCATTGAGTCACTGGGTCGGAATCCAATGATCCATATTCTCAACTTCTCTCAGTTTACGATATAGCGTTACCACCACTCGGTGTCATCACTGAGTCCATGATGATAACCAACTTAAAATATCTCTAAATCCCCACAAAACCCCCAAATTTGACTGGACTAATGCTGATTGGTGACTAGCTTCAAGAGATGATTCCTGAAGTTCCAATGAGAAGCCGTGGCCAGTGAGGTAAACCTGGTGGTCGTGAGAACAAATACTCAACGATGACACTGAGTGGTGGTAACGCTATGTCGTAAACTGAGAGAAGTTGAGAATATGGATCATTGGATTCCGACCCAGTGACTCAATGGAAACGTGCTGGCCAGGGAACTTAAAGTTCGCGAGTTCGATTCCTGGTGAGGCGAGGTCGTGAATGCGGAATTTTGAAGTGTTCCATACTAGAACGAAACAGCTGTTCAGTGCTCCCAGGTTTCCAGTGTTCCTCCAACTGATGTCAGTTTATGATGAAAATCAACTTAAAAATGATTAGTATGTGCCAGCCATTCCGTGGAATCGAAAAATCAAAATAAATTTAGTGGGAGTTACAAATTAGTTAGGGGCTAATCATGAACTAATTCATGCAGCCAGTGTCTGTGAAAAAGATACCTTTTACTTAAAGACTTTAAACTTAAGATTAGATTATAAGACAAACATAAGGAGTAGGTATGAGATTAGCACCAATGGGACACATTATAATAGATAGATTGAAGCAAATATCTTTTTAAAAAGTATGTCGTTTTAATGTATGGTGAAGACATGCAGATAAAACGTTCATCCTGCAGGTTTTTGATATGCATGAGTCCGGTCCTAGTCACGGTTCAATTAATATTTAAACTGCAAACCAATGAAGAGGAACTACGTTGAAGCACATAATAGGATGGAGAATCAAAATTTCGGGTTAGCATAAAAGTTTCACATTTAAACTGTTACTTTTACTTGACGTCCTTCCATCGAATTTCAGTTAAAGCGGAAAAGTACAAGTAACAGAGCGAAAAATGTATTATGTAGATGACACCAATGAAACCGTATTGCTGAATAATTATCCAATAAATTTATTCATAGTTTGTGATGGCATAAATACCATTAGTCTATACAGTTATACTAATACCAAAGTAGAATTTTAAAGCTCTCTGGTGTTATTTAGTCAGGAGAGAATGACAATGATTTAATGTAGAACTCTCAACAGAAGTGGACACAGGTTAGTACTGAGATCTATAAACTCACTTAGAAGCCAACTTTATTGGTTAAGGGACGGTGCCAAATTTATTAGGTCAAATAATTTGGTCTGCTCAATCCTATACAATAGCTGTGAAATCCTATACATAGGTGGAAAGAGTTGATTAATACGCTTATCAGAACAGCACCTTATCTGAATCAAAAAGACATGCGCTAGTAAGAAAAATGGATCTTCTTTATTTCATTAATAACGAGCACATGTAACACCAATAATTCAAAAACTGCTTCACATTTATGTCACTTTCAACAACCCTTGAAAGAATGAAAGGAAAGTCTTAAGATTATTAAAACATATCCGAAAGTTGAGGTATTATTTTGATATAACTACAAAGGCAAACTGTCAGAAAATGTTTCCTGACAGAACTGATGTTACATTTTAACGCCTTTAACGAAAATACCCACATTAAAGTATTTGTATAAAGCTTAGCTAAATTCTATGTCTACTAAATGTATTTTACTTTTTAGACCCGTGATTGACGTCTGTAGATAATACTGGAGGCACAAGAATGCAACAAAATGATCGTAGAATAATTAGGAATACATGACTTACAATCTAAATTGGTACTTTAGAGTGTAAATAACTTTCACTTATCTATATACAATTGTTGTTGTGAAATGAAGCGATGCATGATTGTTGTAACTCACCGAAAATACACATTGCAGAACAGAAGTAAAACAAATTGTGCCATTCATGAAATTGTGGTACAGTCATAGACATCAGGGACATGAACAAACCACCAAAAACCTATATGTAAAAAAGATAATATCATACTGCTATGTTTTGTTGTATATTCATACATTTGCATTATTTTATATAAAATTTCTGTGTTGTATTTGAAGCATTCATTTGTTACTGGTGTCAGCCAGTTTGACTGAGTGAATTTGGAGTTGAAGGATTTTTCCCTTTAGAGGGATATTCACCGAGATTGGAAGACATTGTGATTTCGAAATGGTGCCAGTAGTAATTACAAATCCAAATCCATCATACCATCGGAGCTGAGGTTAGTGGTGCACAAGGGTAAACTAATTATGTTAGTTGTCACTAAGAAGATAACTGTATCTGGAAGAGTAATTGACCAAGTTATTTTGTTTAATTTACTAAAAATGAAGTCGAATGAATGTGAATAGAAGAATTTCATGGTTTGAATACGCTATAGGAATAAAACCTAGCTTTGTTAAAACGGTCTGTCATATTGTCTTCAATTCAGAAAACACTAAGTAATTTCATTTCTCTGAGATATTACTCTGAAATTAATCCAAGGTAGAACTTCAAATGTCAGTCTATCCGAATTAAAATAATTATGAAATTTCAATAAGCGAAGACAACTCACCAACTATCTCTAATACATCTTCTGGCCTAACTTGGTGCTAAACTCAGTGAGTTAAGAATTCGGAAAAGCACTCCGTGTAGATAATTAGCCATATTTTTTATTACTCATCAATAAAGCGCTAAATGAATTTTTAGAACCGAAAAGATTACGAGGAAAAAGTTACTTACAAAAGCATTGAAAACTAGTCCATAATTTACAGCCATGTTAACAGATCCGAACAAAGTCTCTGTTGCAGTTGGTGCGTAAACAAGAACGCCACTTAGCAACAAATACAGACTGCATAGCCATATACTAAAACCAACTTTAATTTTTGCACCAAATATGACTGGTAAGTGTGGAAATGAGGTTAACAAAATTGACCACAGTAGAAATATGATGCATAGTGGAACCTGTAATTGATATAACAAAATACGAAATGATACGTACTAAATTGTTTTTTACTGAGATAACTTTTCAATAATTTATTTTTGAGATGAATGGGGATTTTTAATTTAGAAGTAGTATTCATCATGGACTGACATCAGTTGGGGAACTATTGGAAATCTGGGAGCATTGGACAGCTGTTTCGTCCTATGACAAGAATCCTCAGCAGTACGCATCCACGACCCGGCTAGGGATCGAACTCAGGACCTTCGGTTTTCACGGAGAACGCGTTAATCATTCAGCCAGTGGTTCACAATTTCCAACTTCTTTCAATTCACGACGCAGTGTGAGACTATCACCCAAGGTCTTCAGTTAGCATCCACTTCACTTCCGACTGGTTGACCCCGCAGGTGACGGCTTCTCATTAGAGCTTCGTGATATCCATCTGGAAGCAAGTCACTAATGAGCACTATAGAGTAATGTATTTTTGAGATGAATGGGGATTTTTAATTTAGAAGTAGTATTCATCATGGACTGAAATCAGTCGCGCTATGTCGTGTATTGATAGAAGCTGGAAATTGTGAACCACTGGAAACCGACCCACTGGCTGGATGATTAGCGCGTTCGTCGTGAAACCTGTAGGTCCTGAGTTCGATCCTTAGCCGGGTCGTGGATGCGTACTGCTGAGGTTTCTTGTCATAGGACGAAACGACTGTCCAATGCTCCCAGATTTCCAATGGTTCCCCAACTGATGTCAGTCCATGATGAATACTACTTTTCAATAATTATTTGAAAAGTTTATACTGCTTGTTAGAAGTTTAAATAATGGTTCGCTTTTTCGGAACTCTGAAGTTGAATGGTATTCAACATCTAGAAAACAATTTCATTTTTTTCCTGACAGAAGTTAAACAAACTATTTGAACTCCATCAGGCCCATTCATAAAAGAGAAGCGGTGGTGGTTCAAGTGAAATGTAAATAAGTCACATTGTGAAGAAAATTCATATTAACCAAATATTCTGTTCATATTTTTACCACTTTCAATCATGTAAAGTCTTAAATGACTTTCATCTTGAACCGTGTGTTACGTCAGGTATTATTTCATTCAGGTAGTATCCAACTTCTACTACATAGTCGCAGCCTTTGCAAGATGTTTTAATAATTGATAGTTAAAAATCTCCTCATAATCAAGTTTATCACAGTCAAACAAATTATTTAATTTCCCTTTAAAAACAAATCGGCGTCTGTGAAAATTTTATTAAACAACCATACATTTTCATTTGATTTAGTTAGAAAGGTTGTGGAAACTATGCAAGCATGCAAATGCATACAAATATTACCCATTAAGGTATATACAGTTGTTTGAATCGATAGCGTCTACGGTTATTAAAAGATTACTATTACAAATTTCCTGACTGCATTCATTTTCCTCTTTTCATTTAGTGTTTAAATTTCTTTTTAGTGAGTTTTGAACGAAACGCATTCATCTCTTTTCATACTGGAATAGTATCAATATGATCGAGTCATATTTTTAGGTGAAAGACGCTAATGAGGCAATAGAAGACCTCATTTGTTACTAATTTCTTTGCAATTACAAGTGTTATAGCTACAGCTGTATATTTTATTGAGTTGTTTGTAGAATATATTTACTTGTACTTATTCATATCTTTTAAGTCTTGATGTCTGTTATTTCTTTTAACTTGAATTAAATGCGACTAATTTTCTACCTCTTCCTCCTACAAGTAATTTACATTTAAAATACTGATGTAAGCTCCGGTAGCAATTCTCTTAGCCTCAAAACTAAACTCTGTACTAAGTATAACAAAATCGGCAACTGCACCCAAAGCATAATCTATCTAAACAGCAGAAATGTGTCATATTTTTAGGTAGTAATTTCATCCAAATCATAGACTTCATACATAAAATAATGCAAACCTGACATTTCCAAAAAATACCTTGAATGAAATACGGTCACCAATAGAACCCCAAAAAACCCGTCCAATTGCATTGAAAATAGATGATATAACACCCATGATAGCGAAGAACCTGTCATCGTTAATATAGGCTTTGCCGAAAAGCTGAAAGAGTCATTAGAAGAATAGCAGTCAAGCTGAAATAGCTTTTGAGATTATTCATAAAAGTATGAGTGAACAAGTCAGAAAAAAAAACAAGTTAATCCACTAGCTACGCTAGACGTCAAGCTATAACACAACTGTATTCTTCCCATTAGCATATTCGTAACTATGTTTAGTCAGGTCAGCATCTCAAATTAGTTGACATCAGAGGTAACAAAGTTAACAAATGTAAAGTAAGAAAGGGAAGAAATATTTAGGGCCGAAAACGTATGTTAATACCTACTTAAGTATTTAGCTTAAAAAAAATTGGTCATTGTTTGACAAAAATAATGTAATAATTCATGCATCGGTGATAAGTAGTCCATTATGCCATACACTTAACAATAAACTTTGGTTCGTTTTTAAACTGAGTGAAACAAAAGTATTGCCTATTGGAGGTTTTCATTTTGTCTAGAAAGGACTTGAATAATAATCTGCTACGGTAGTGATTATATTATTATGTTTTCCAATAAAAGCCGGAAAATCTGTTCGGTCCTCTTCGTAACAAGCTCCCGTGAGAAAAGCAAACACTAATCAGGATACAGGTACAAGCAGCAAACAAAACGTAGTATGTATCTCTGATGCAACCAGTGATGATAACCAAGTTCAGATAATTCATGACTCTTTGACACAAAAAAACTCGTTTAACGAACCTGATTAGGCTTCAACTGTAACAAATAAGATATGCATGAATAACCTCGCATACTGTAGTTCAAAAACGAACATAGGTATTTGTCATTTACACCAGGTCTCAGCTAAATATTCGATAGACAAAATGAAAATCACTTATCTTGTCAGTCAATACTGCTGTAAAAATCCAACTTCAGTTAACACTCAAGCGAATCTTCATGACAAACACTTTTCCACTAAGTAAATTTCTAAAATATTTTGTCTCTTATAAGCGTTTTATACTTTTCATATAAGAAGTAACATTTTTACACATGAAATCACTGTAATACAGAAAACAAGTTTGGTAGCAGTCTGAATGGAAATGTACCGCTCAACAGTAAGTGTAGTATACTTACCACTTACGAACTAATTGCATAATTTTAATATTTTAACATATGATGCTCCCCCTCTATGATTTAGTTAGATTTGAAATGGGATGAAAATTCCTGACTAGGCAGCCAGTGTGAATACGATCAAGCGGTAGCAACGCATTAGGAATTCATATTGTAGTCAGGCAAAATCCTTGGTGATTGAAGTGAAATAAAATTCTCGTCGGCAGCCGGACCTTGTAGCTCAGTTGGTAGAGCACCAGTTCGGTAATCCGGTGGTCGTTGGTTCGAATCTGGCCGCGGTCCAGATTTTCATCTCACCTTCAGCCGTCACCCAGTACATCTTTACATTTGAAAAGTATTCCAGTTACTTAACTGTGGCTTGACAACCAATGAACATCGTTACTTAGTGGTGTGCCACAATTTATTTCCAAGCTCAAGGAGCAAGCCATCATTGTCTTTACTTCCCGTTTTCTGTTTACCTTGGGTCAAATTTTTCAGCTTATTATCATTCAGACGGGTGAGTATACTTTTTATGCTGGCCAACCCTAATCTTGGTTTGAAAGCTTCTGTCACACAATTCACATTGGTAATGCATGTTTTTACCTCCGATCACACCACTTGACAAACTAAGATTTTCTTTCAACGAGGCAGGTCTAACTATCGAACCCGCCATCCAACATAGTGACTCAGAAGACATTTTTCCCCATCCCTGCAGTGATAACCAGCTGGTTGGGCCGCATGCCTCATCGTCACACGAGTGCATACAGGTTCCTGCTAGTAGTCAGTATCAGTACTTTTATTATTGGATATAATCATGGTTGTTGATAGAATGAGAGTGACACCTCACCCGCTTTATTAAAAGGTGGGGATATTCTGACAGTACCGTCATTTCCGAAAGTTTCAGAGGGGCAAAGGAAAACCCCCTTTTCTGTGGTGTGCTTAGGCACACAGATGGATTGGCACCATTGTTTGTAACCCCCTTCCCCATTCTCCATTAAGATACAGAATGCTGCAACCATCAGAGTTGCCAGCTATGCCATGTATCCAGCCAGGGAGGAGTAAATGCGCATCACCGACCAGGGGTTCATTTGTATCAACGTGATTTGGCACGCCAAAAGACTGAGACTGTTATTGGAAACCCACACTCTCAACTTATTCAAACTGCAGGTAGAACATGCCGGCTATTTCTGACGGTAATTTGCCAGCAGGTTGATATCTGCTTAACAGCAGGAACGATGAGAAGATTTACCGTCTGTAACTATACTATGCCGCGACCACTCGGTATAATATTAAGGCAGGAGTGACACTCTCCAATTAGATGATGAGGTATTTGACTACCTAAGGAGAGGTATAGTCATTTAAAAACACTGACAGAGAAACGAATTCGGATCCACTAGAATAACACTAGGTAAATTACTCACAAACTGAAAATTCTCCCATTACCGTTAACAGTTTCCATCAAGATTAACGTACAAGATTTTTTCACAACAGTGCCACGAACCAAAAAATTTTCTACCGATCAATATTAGTATTTAGACACCTGATACTACAATTGGTAGGGTTCAGGCACTTAATAAGTATAACGTAAGTACTAAAGAGCTGTTGCACTCTTTCAGATACGTGTTTTTCGAACAGTCGCGACTTTTGGACTTTATATTGATGCAGACACACTCATTGTGGATATCGCTTTTGACTTTTTCATGATAAGCTTGCCATACATTTCAAATTAGTACTGTTTGTTAGTATTTACATTTTTGGATATCTTTATGTTTTAGAATCTTGTTAACTATAATTAAATCGACATTCATACTTAAAGTTGGAAATAATTTT